TCGATACCCGTGGTGGGCAGAGCACAGATAGCCCATTGTGTAGATTTGTGCTTAATTACAAACAAACAAACTTATAGTGTTTTTTTAAAAACTTTTACGTTTGTTAAAACATTTTAATAAACGTTTCCATAATTAGAACTTATTGATTCTAATAAATAAATGTTTGTTCTATGTTGCGTTTTTTTTAGAAAGTAGCTTATTGCTAAGGAATAGATACAAATACACCATTCGTCATTTTGTTTGAACGCTTTTCTGGAAAAGTCATTTACTTACTTAGATGAAAATTCGTTGAAATGATGAAATTTTGATTCACTCCATAAACACGTATATATAGAAATTTAGGCGGCTTTATAAGAACGATAAGCTTTAGTTCTGCTCAGCCAATACTGTGAAATAGTCATTGTTAATATTCCGACATTTTAAAGGTGTTTTTCAAAGGGACTATTTTTACGGCTGCCATTTTGTTTCATTACGATTTCTACTACTAAGTACTACCTTACTTAATATTAGTAGTCGCTGACAATGTTTCCTTTGTGATTGAAATCAAATATATTTTTTTTCAAAAAGTTTCAGCTACCAAAGACCGTAAGATTTTCATCTTTTTACAACAACATCAGAATTTAACAAAGTTTTTGAACTAATATTTTGTGGAGTCTAACATATACATTGACTAGATTACAACCAAAAATTGGCATTTCTGTAACACGTGTCAAACAACGTGAATGTTTTGTTTTGAAAAGAGTTACTAAATCTTCCTGAGATGTATATATATTGAATAACCAAACTAAAAAGTTGTGCTTAACAAAGAGTTGTACGGGCAGTTATGAAATAAATATGGAATATTTCTTTTTTCTCTTAAAAAGGATCTAAGCGTACTTTGCCCAGGGCTTCGAACTTATTCATACAGATGAGTGAAAAAGGGTGTTAAACTCTTATTCACATAAAGTTGGAAAACAGTTTTATACTGTATTAACAACGAGTGAACGCTCTAAGGCTGGTTCATGGTGTCTAATATATTTATCTAAATTAAGAGGGTGGTCTGAATAGTTGTATTAATAAATTAATAACAATATGAAAGAGAAATACACTTAAAGTGCAAAGTTGTGTTCTTACGTTAGATCTTATGAGTTACCAAAATAAAAAGTGTTTATTGTTGTTAGGCCTAAGTACGTAGAACAAAATAGGAGACAGAAACTGTCAAGAAAAATACGAGCACCTTCCAGAATTGTATTTTTATAACATGATTGTGTCGTAGAATTTAAAAGTTTGTCACACAGAGCAAAGTATCAATATTTACTTCTGATTTAAATAAATGATCTAATTTGAGAACCTAAATCATAAGAATATTAAACGTTCTTGATAACAAAGTAAAGTTTTTAATTATTTGAACAACTGTGTTATCAAAATCAATGGTTTATTTAAATAGGTTTTTTGGACTTTTCATGAAATATAATAAACATTATGAACGTCTTTTTATAACAAGAAATAATTAATTTCAAATTGGTAATTTTTTATTATTTATATTCTGATATTTTAGATTAAACGTGCTTTTGTTAAACTTTTAGATATTGAACACGTTTTAAATACTTCTCTTATGGGTTTTGTTTTAAAAATTTTGATGATGGCTTATTTTTTTAATTTGGTTCAATGTTTCTCAATTAGGTTGGGAAGAAAGAAATATAAATTGAGAAAGCAACCCGACAAACAAATAAATCTAAAATTATATCAGAATAATTGTTTTCTGATTTATTTTGTAATCTTTCCTCGAGAAGTTTAACTTTTATATATCTTATTATAATGGAGTTTGCGATGTATACATCCAAAACTTGAAACTACCTCACCGATCATCACCAATCATAACTGGGTAATATTCTTATAACTGAGTAGTATTTTTATAGCTGAGCAATAAATAAAACAACTGATATTTCCATAAAAATGATATGTTTTAGATTTAACCTATAGAAATGTTTGTTTGTAGTTAAAGACAAAGCTATACGATGGGCTATTCGTACTATGCCCACGACGGGTATCGAAACGCGGTTTCTAGTGTAGTAAATCAGCAGACATTCCGCTGTTCCACTGGGGTGCACAAAAAAAGAGGAACAAGTTTCTTATATAAAGCAATTAAAAAACAAACTTTTTTTTTAAAAAAAAGAAAAAATTATTTGTTTTTCTTTAGTGAAAATCTCATGAGTGTTGCAACAGAAAAGCAAAGCGCTTTCATTGATAACTGCGTCTACAAACAAATACTTTAATAAAATCTACTCTGTGATGCAATGCTATGATGACAGATCATTTGTGAACTAAAATTTCAATGAAACCCTTTTTCTCATGGATAGTGAACGTTATTGAATGTTAAGTATGAGTACATTGTTGTAGAACTATCAGACAATTTCAGAAAAAGCCGCTGGCCCAATAGCCTTCCGCCGGAACTAATAGTTGGGTATTTCTGCTAGTTTTAAAAATAAAACTATATTGTTTTAAGCTATAATTTCAATATTTTCTGTTATATGTTACTAGAGGGCGTATGAGGTTAAGATATAGTAAATTCAACTAACATTTCAGACGGGTACAATATTTATTAATGCCAGTAAGCAGTTTGTTCAGGGCCAATCAATTAGTGAAGTAGTGAATGAGTGATAATTGTTTATCTAAGAAATGGTAATTAAGTTAGATGTATGTTTAGTAATTTATATTGAAACGTTGTATTTGAGCTTAGGCCTACATTTCTTTGTGGAGCTAGTGTTGAAATGTTATTTGTGAACTTATGTGTACAAGTGAAAGTAACCTGTAGTAAATCTAAAGAAATAAATAAACTAATTTGTTATCGTTACGCGACCTGGAACTAGCCTTAGTTTTAACAAATATTGTAAACTAACACATCAAACGCTGCGAAACTGTATATATATATATATATATATATATATATATATGTTTGTGTGTGTGTTATTCCAGTCCAAATAACGTAGAGGAATAAAACCAATACACGCCTCTTGTTTGTTCATCTGGTTTTACAGATGTCCAGGAATATTTCCGTCGTTTTAAATCGTGAAACTTAAATTGCCGTCTCAGCGCATATTCGTGTGTTCGTGTGAATTTAAATTTCCAGGGTGCCAACATAATACCAGTTTTTCAATTGTAGCTAGATAAGTGCTATTGTTTAACAGTTTAATCGCTCCTGATGACTAGCTGCCTTCCCTCTAGTCTTTCACTGTTAAATTCAGGACGGCTAGCGCAGATAGCCCTCGTGTAGCTTTGTGCGAAATTCAGAACAAACCAATTTACTCTTTAGAGGTTAATTATCGACCGTTTTGAATCAATGTGTTAAGAATGCAATATTTTCCATTTACTGCCATTAAGACGACTCTTAGATTTTATTGCTCTCCTAGGCCTTAAAGTGGCCAGACAAATGGAGCAACTGGCCTGACATTCACAGTAATGCAGCGTTGTCATAAATCTCTCATTTAACTCTAATCCGTGCGGATTGGAAGGGTAACTGTGATAGCGTTATGGTTGGAAAGTGTTTCCAATCAGTTTAGTCGAATTTCTAGAAAGTAAAAGTTTTGTGCTGCATGTGGTCGGCGATATCAAATTGCACATTTAACTTACCCGTCAAGTAAGAGATGCGTTACCTAATAATTACAGCTAGGTGTCGTAAGAAATCCCAGCAAAACTCTGGAGCTAAAGTGTTTTTGTTACTTATGAAGTTAGGTTTTCGTGCCATTTGCAATCACGTAATTTCTTCCATCATCAATGTCACGAAACGCTCACAGCCCTTCCTTCGCTAGTCGTTTACCCATGAAGCAAATCTTACCGGTTCTCCTGTTATTGCGTAAGTAACTCACTTGTCTATAGTTATAGAAATAATAACATAACACCACTTAAAGTGTGGTGTTATGTTATTATTTATAGGTGTGGTGTTATCTATCTGTCTGGGATAGATAATATGGAATATGACACAACGCCGAAACAGTATTATTTTTACAGAGTGTTTATTCGATGGCTTAGTGTTTGTAGCTTCCAATTACACTAAAATTTCTATTATTTCATATATACATTTTTTTTCCGGCTTAACTAATAGTCAACATTGATTTTTATATAAATGCATGACAATGCCACTATCGCAAACAAATACGTCAGACTAACAGAAGGCCAGATTTTGCTTTTTCAAGTGCATGGACTTATTTGAATGCCTTTGTAAACGGATAATGAAATCCTATCGATAGAGATTTCAGTTCTAAGCATCAAGAATCGTCCATACTTGTCACGTACAATTTACTTAACGAACAACTAAATTGCGACGATAGAGGGCTAGATGTTCTGGCTCATTGGCTTCATTAAAACCAGTCCTATGACGATTGAGTTTGCTAGATATTCTCTGACTTTTTATCTTTGTTCGTTACTTTACAGTTGTTGTTTTTTATTTCAGGGGCTTATGTTGACTCTTACAAAACAAGAAACATAGTTCACAGACTCTATTCCATATCGGTAATGACAATATTTTTAACGAACAATGTCTTAGAATGTGTCTCTTATCCTTTGGGTCGCTGTTTTTTTGGGTTTTTTTTCGCAAACCTACATAGTCGTCTATTAATGCTAATTGCCCCCCCCCCAAAAGAAACGTAACTATGAAGTAATAATATTAAACAATTAAAAATGATCAGAACAACTGTAAGAGAGAAAGGACATTTGATCAAGATTTTATTCCAAAAGCTCGTTGGAGATCAATCCCACTGAAACGTGTGTGTTTCAACTAGTTTTGTGTTAACGTTAGCTAAAAACATTTAAATGAATAGTTAGAATGAAGAGAAAAAAACGATTTGTAATATAGCTGGCAATATAAAGGTGCAAGGTTCAATCTGTGACATGATATTGAACATGCTTTACATTATCAGTTCTAGGGCGTTATAGCTGTGACAGTCAATTCCACTATTTAGATACGAATAATCGTGTGGGCGGCGGGTACTGCTGAATTGTTACTCTCTCTCTCTGGTAGCAGTTATAAATTAGGGGTGACTATGACTAAGCAGTAGGATCCCTTCTTTGGACGTTTAACCCATATGTTGCATATTATTAAACGAAAAAGTGTGTTATAGTTAAAAAATCGTCTGAAGTTATTGTCACGATAAAAACTTTTATATAGGGAAAATGTAAGTCAAAACTGCTATGGTGAATACTACTTGAAATTTAAATAGTTTTTCAACATTTAACCGCACATCGAACCCAGCGGTATGTGTGCGGACTTACAACGCTAGAAACCGGGGTTCGATACCCGTGGCGGGTAGAGCACAGATAGCCCTTTGTGTATCCTTGTGTTTAACTACAAGCAAACATCGAACCCAAGGTATGGTGAAATAACAACTTACAATTTTAAATAGCTTGTTAACATTTAACCACGCATTGAATCTATAAAAAACTAAAGTACGGACTTCGTAAAAGAAAAGTTATTTAGAGATGTTACTAAGAAAATAATGAGAAAAGGTAGTGGCTTGTCAACATTTAATCGCACATCTAACCCAAAGTGTGGCGAAATACCACCTTAAAATTCTAAATAGCTTGTCAACATTTAACCACGCATCTAACCCAAGATGTGGCGAAATACTAACTTACAATTCTAAATAGCTTGTCAACACTTCATCCTCATAGAAACCATTTAGTGGTCAGGGTCTTGCCAAGGGTAATGCGAGCAGTGCGTTTTGCTGAAATACTTCAAGTTGAATTTTTCTACGTATTAGTATAATCTAAGCTATATACACTGAGTGGTCACAAGTAGATAGACACCTAATTTTTCGTCATTTAATT